ACATTTACCGGCCTGAATGTCCGAGAAATTTTCATATATATAGGATGCAGGTTCGAATCCTGTCAAAGGACGAATATTTTCTATGGAAATTTCTCGAACATTCAGGCCGGTAAATGTTATTTAATACTGTTTATTATAAACAGAGCATTTACTTATCTATAAAAAAAAAAAAAGAATGTTAAACATAAAAAATGTCTTTAATAAATTGTCGGACTTTGTCCAATTCTTCATGTATATATATAAATATTTAAAAGAAAAAAACAGACCACTTTAAGGTACCATTATAATAATTTATTTCACCAGAGTCCTTTTAAAAGACGCCGGATCATCAGATAGCACTTCCAAAAAGGAAATGAAATGAAAAATTCATATTGTGTTTATTTCCGAGTACTTTCGACATAGCATAATGTCATTATCAGATATATATATATATATATATATATATATATATATATATATATATATATATATATATAGATAGATAGATAGATAGATAGTCTGCCAGCAGCTACCCACTTGAGCCAGGTCAGCACTAGCTCCTCAAGAAACTTGATGTAGGCCACCCTGTTGAGACTGAGGCCCTGTAAGAATGAATGAATGGAATCATAATGGAAAGAAGCATAACGTCAACATCACTAGTGGTCACTCCAAATACCTTCGTAGTCGCCGTTAGACTCATCCAACTTTTTCCGAATCCTCTGCACTCTCCTATGATTGTACCCAGTTATTCAGAAATGTTCGTATTGGGGTTTCCTGCGTGAATGCTAAGCAGTATGGGACGCCTTTTCCACATTTCTGGCAGATTGAATTGCGCCATGGTGTTCTTTTTCCTTACAGACGATGCCCAACTGACCCTACTAGACCGTAGAGTCGACACAATCAAAAACAAACGCGCATGCGCGAAATTAAAATATATAAAATGACAACAATTTACTCATCGCACACTGTAAATGTGAGTGTGTCTATAAAATAGAATATATATATATATATATATATATATATATATATATATATATATATATATATATATATATATATATATAAAACTGTTGTGGTAGGATCCACCTAATTTGCATAGTGGAGTACCGACCATATAAATATGGTTGGTACCGGGAAGACGAGGGGAGGAATCAAGAGATTCAATCCAGACTCTCTGTCCGACTGCGACTAAGTCAACAACTTCTCCAGGAACGGTCTTCTCAAGAATATACAAAAGACTATATGTAAATATTGTGTACACTTTCTTGTTTCAATACACTTCGTTCTAAGTACATTTTGTGTTGCATTATTATTCCATGCATTAGTCAACAATTTACAACACACACACACACACACACACACACACACACACATATATATATATATATATATATATATATATATATGTGTGTGTGTGTGTGTGTGTGTGTGTGTATGCATACTATATAAAATAGTATTTCGAATAAGTATTATATACACGACATGGTAGATCGATACAGAGAAAGGCTTCTATTATACTATTTTGCATATATATATATATATATATATATATATATATATAGATAGATAGATAGATAGATAGATAGATATAGATATATAGATATAGATATATAGATGCGTGTGTATGTATGTCGTACAGGAAATGTTTTGCACCAACGTTCGGTGAACATATCCGGATATTTATTCAAGGGCTGGGTGTATCTTAGACTCATTTCTCTTCGGCTCGGTTTAAAATCTCAAACGGAATTCGAGAGAGAATATAGCAATGACGTCATGGCTTCACGGTGAAACCCACTGACTTAATAGTAACGACAGCAACATATGTCCTCTTTTTGATGAGAAAAAAAGAATGAAAATAGATAGAAAGAGAAAAAGGAAAAGAGAAAAAAATTAGAAAGAAAAAGAGAAAAAGAAAAAAGGAAAAAGAAAGAGATAGAAAGAAAGAAAGGAAAGAGCGAAAAGGAAAAAGAAAGCGAGAAAAAGAGAAAGTAAGAAAAAAAGAAACAAACAAAGATAGAAAAAAGAAAGAAAGAAAAAGGGAAAAAGAAAGAAAACGAGGAAGAGAAAAAGAAAGAGAGAAAATAAGTAAAAAGAAAGAAAGAAAGAAAGACAAAGAAGGAAAGAAAAAAGGAAAGTAGGAAAAAAGAAAGAAAGGTAAAAGAAAAAACAGATTTAAAAAGAAAGAAAGAAAGAAAAAGAAAGAAAAAGAAAAAACATAAGGAGAAAGAAAAAAGAAAGAAAATAGAAAGTAAAAAAGAAAGAAAGAAAAAGAGAAAAAAGAAAAAGAGAAAGTAAGACAAAGGAAAGAAAGAAAGAAAGAAAGAATAAGAAAGAAAAAAAGGAAGAAAGACAAAAGAAAGAAAGAAAGAAAAAAGAAAGAAAAAGGGAAAAGAGAAAGACAGAAAAAAAAGTAAATAGAAGACAACAGATTGAAATTCGAATAAGCATAGATAGATAGAAATATAGATAAATCGATAAAGGATTTCGATCGACATTAAAGCTGTAAACAGATACCCACCAC